TCATTTTACTTAGAATATAATAGAATTTATATCTTATTAATTATTTAAATTTATTTCGTTATAATGAGACAATATACTACTTTAGATGATTTAGCACAAAATAAATATATCATAATACATATTTAAATTCTATGGGGCTGCGGTGCGCACATTCAATTTATTCAAAAATTTCAAAATAAGTTATTACGAGACATCGTCAACGCTTCCTAATATGTCCGTAATGATGATATATGTATACACAGAGATCACAGGATCCCTAGTGTCAAAGATAAACAAAACTTTGTTAGGAGACTTAAAGGTATGACCCCCATCGAGTTAACATAATGTTTCTTATCTGGAACAACAAATACCTATAGTACGACATTGTGGCAGATAAAAAACAAATTAAATTTTTAAAAAAGTCAGACCAAAATTAACGGTTAATCGTTTTTGACTGTAGTTTTATTGATTAGATTTGGTAGGTGTTTTTAGTTGGTCAGAATCTTACACTACTACTCTTTCGTCTAACAGTATCTTTCCAGATGTTCATCCTCCGCACGGCAAAAAAAAAAATATTTGAATTCTTCGTATGTATTTGTTCAATATATTGAGAAAGCTGAACGTTAAGAAAAAAAATTGCGAATACGAAAATTTTCATTACAAATTGATTATTTCACTTTTATCACGTATTCATATTATATAAGATTTGAGAAACTAGGATATTATATTCTTTCAGAATTTTAGCACATATTTCATATAGTAAACTTTTCAATTTACAAATTATACAAAATTATAATTGATTTATTGTCATGTTAGCTGTAGCCAATAATGTTAATATTATAACACTTCTATTTGCTTCCAGTATTGTAATCTACAATTTTTCACTTATACCATATTTAAAATGCAAATAATAATAACTATTGAGAAGTTATTAAAATTTCCTATAGTAAGCGGTTCAACCCAGAATACATTAATAACAAACATTAATTAACATTCACTGATTGTCAAACTCCAACCCACTTAAATATCTTTTGTATTATTTAAACATTTAATTTTTTTTTTAAAATACTAAAATTAAAAAACCATTTTAATTAAAATTTTTCAATTATGACTAAAAAAGTAAAATTAATTTGTTATTATTTTACCATAGCTATAATGTAAATTAACTTTAATATTAGAATTTTTAATATGATGGCTCTTATTACTTTTTTAAGTAAATTATTTTCAAAATATAGTGAAAATATTGTAATATTCATTTTTAAAACTCTTGAGACCATGACAGATTTAAAATTTATATTTTATACGCTAAGGAATAAATATTTAATAGAATTACTATGATATTTTAATTTTTTTTAATTATTTTAACACGAACACATTTATACAATGTATAATGAAGTAGGTCGCGTTAATAACATAAGTTAATGATAGAAATTTGAATCATTGTTACATACTGCTATAAAATATTATAATATATTATGATATATAATAAATACATACATACATACATATATCATGCTTCTATACATAAAATTTTTTCAACCAATAAGTGTCTGTTTATATTTAATGTGTTAAATATAAATTCTATTAGTATGTTAACCCTATAATTACTCCTTAGTACTATGAAAACTTAAATTTATGTATAATTAAACATAAGTTTTGAAATGTGCCTTTTAAATCGTGATTTCAAATAAACTTAATTGTTATATATAAAACAATAATTATTTTTGATATTAAAAAATGTATAATTAAAAATCATTGTATACAGAGTCTAAGAGAATTTATTATTTTTAATATACATAGTATAATATTAAAATGTCAATGTTTTCATAATATTTACTTACAAAACATAATGCTTAAGAAATTGAAAGACATGCATAATAATAGACCTTTCAATAAAATTATTTGTATATTTTAAACTTTTCATTTTAATCTTTTGACATGCATATATATAAATATTAAGACATTGCATTCTAATTATATATTTAAAACTTTTATATAAAATAGATTTTGAAAAATTAAAACAAATTAGTTTAATATTGGAGTCAAAATAAAAAGGATATTTTTAAAAATAAAATTTTGAATTTAAGAGCACAACATCCATAAATATTTTATTTAAAATAATGAATTTAATATATTATATTAAAATTTATATTTTTCCAATTATTATTCATATATTACGAATAAATTCCATAGAAGGATATATAAATTCAACAATAATTTCAAATCTCCTTGAAATTATTTACAATAAATATGATTTTAATTCATTAGTTTTATTTAAATCAAAATCATATTTAAAATCAGATCCACAATTTATTAATCGTATTGCAAATAATTATCAACAAAAAAATTATATACCAATTTTATTTTTAGAAAATAAAACAATACCAATTGTTAATTTATATAAAAGAGAAATATTAGTAGTAATATTTTTTAATCAAATTAATTATAATAATTTTAATATTATAATAGAATCATTAAATTTAATAAGACAAACAAAAATTATTATGATTTTTGATAAAAATCAAAATTCTAATGAAATATATTATTCTTTAAATTTAAATTTAATACAAACATTATTTGAATGGTCTTGGAAATTTAATATAATAAATATTAATTTATGGTATTTTAATAAATATAATAAATTAGAAATATTTACATATAATCCATTTCCAATATTAAAAATAATTAATTTAACAATGCCATTATATAAATTAAAAGAAAATATTGAAATATTATTTTTAAATAAATTAAAAAATTTAAATGGTTATGAATTTCGTTCAATAGCAATGCAAGATTTACCACGTTTTTTTAAATATAAAAATAATAAAAATATTATAAAATATAGTGGTATTGGTGGTTATATATTAAAATCATTTTATAAAAAATATAATGCAACATTTAATGAAATTAATATATCAAATGTTAGTGAAAATTTAGATATGAATTTAATTACAAATTTAATGAATAATAAAACAATGGATATATCAGTACATCCATATGGAATTGTATTAAATCGTTCATTTACATGTACATATCCAGTTATAATAACAAAATGGTCACTTATTGTACCAGTTGTTAATGAAATACCAAAATTTTTATATTTAATATTACCATTTAATAATGATACATGGAATATTTTAATTATATCTGTTTTATTAATATCATTAAGTATATTAGCATATCGTAAATTTTATAATATACATCCATCATATTCACGTTCATTTTTAGATTGTTTTTCATTAATATTAAATATTGGTTTACCAGTTAAAAGAATTATTAATTATAATATAAATTTTTTAATAACATATACACCAATATTTTTACTTGGTTTTATATTAACAAATTTATATTGTGCTAAATTAACAAGTTTTTTAAGTACAATTGTAATGGGACCACAATATAATACATTAAATGATTTAGCAAATGCAAATTTAAAAATGTTAATTGTTGAATATGAAGCTAATCAAGTTATTAATAATAATGGTTTCCCAAAAGAATATATACATTTAATGGAAATCACTAATCCAGATATATTATTTGAACAGAGAGCAAAATTAAATACATCATATTTTTTTTTGATGACCAATGAAAGATGGAAATTTTTTTTAAAACAACAAGAATTTTTAAAAATGAAAAAATTTCGTGAATCCGATATATATTTTGGTGTTTATTTAATTGGTTTTCCAATACAATTAAATTCAGTTTTTTATGATTTATTAAATTTTCATATATTATTAACATATGATAATGGTTTAATAGATAGAATTGATGAGAAAATATTTGAAGAAGCTGTTTCATTAAAACTAATTAATCGATTTTATAATGGTACAGATGCCTCCTCATTTGATTCTACAACACATTCAATGAATTTTACATATTTTGTATTAGTCTGGTCTGTTCTACTTTTTGGTTGTCTTCTATCATTTATTTCTTTCATATGTGAAAATATTTTTTTCTTGTATATAAGAAAAAAGAAAATTAACTATTTTAAATTAGAAAATTTAACTTTAAATAAATGAAAAAATGTTATGTGAAAAAATATTACAGTTTTGTAAATCTAATTTAAAATTAAACAATATCAAAAACTAAATCAAATATCGAACAGCGTTTTTTAAATAAGTTAAAAATGTAATTTTAAATTTTATTTTATTACATATATTTTTAAGCTTATTGGTACACAGTTACTAGCCCTAAGAATATTTCAAGTACTAAAACAAACTAACAAAAAACAAAAAAAAAAAAAAAGAATTTTAAAAAATTATGTACAAGAATTTATAAATGTAAGAAACAATATTATAAATGTAATTTTATGATGCAAAAATATATTAATTTACACCAAGACTATTTTAATTTTTTTTATTTTTGGCAATATATTTTCTTAGATTTAACGCTTTCTTAACAAATAAATTAAAAAATCTTTTTGTAATTTTAAAATTTTACTATTATAATGATTAAAATCCAATACAAGTTTTATGAACCAAAATTTTTTCGATTTACTTATTTTTGAAGATTATTAGGTATTTAATATTGGTCAAATTTTATGCTCAAAACATTGGTTTCGACTCCTTTAAATTAGTGAGCATGAATTAATGCAATAAGAAAATTGTCTTAGTCATAAGTACTCAATAAATTTATTGGAAAATATGAAGGCCCACATTGTCAATGACAAACTAAAAAAATTATTCTTCTTTTTAATTTCAATATATCCTTTATTTATTATTATTACATATGTATTTATATTTTCAAACAGATATAAGTTTTATTTAATTTCGTATATTAATTTATTTATTTATTTATTTAGTTTAAAAGGTAAAATCGTTTAAAATTAACTAGTTAACATTTAAAAAAAAAAAAAAAAAAAACAAAAAAAATATAAAACAATTTTTTTAAAACAAAATCTTTTTAATTTTTTGAAAATTACAAAATTTTGTCTCCATTTTAAAGACAAATAATGCTTTTCTCAAAGAAATATTATTTTGATTATTAATCTTAATATATAAAATTATGTAAAAATAATTTTAATATTACTATTTCTTTTGCTTCTTTACAACAAAACATAAATATGAAAAACATAAATACAAGCGGAGTTTTAGCGTAAATTATTGAAAAACGTGGAAATAAATTTTCTTTTACTTTTTTTTTTAATAGTTTTCTTCCACAATAAATTATGGAATGTAGAAATTTGATTTTAAAAGAAAAATACCCTTTTTTAATACATAAAATAAATTATTAGCAATTGTATTGGTTAACTATTTTTCAATTTTTCCAAAGCTAGTTGTTAACTTTAGGGTTGCCCAAACAAAACTTCAGAGCCTGGTGGTATTGTACTAGGGTCTACCTGTTCACTAAAATAATTTGCTGTTTGAAAAACGTTTGTAGAAATGCTAACAGTTGAAGGTGATTGTTGTTGCTGCTGATTTTGTGATTGTTGCTCTTGAATTTTTGCATTTGCTATTGATTGTCCGTGCTTCGGTTGATCAGTCGTTGTGCAATTTTGTTGCTGATGTTGTTTATTATTCAAATCTAAATTCAAATCGTTTTTCTGCAAATTAGTAGCTTGTGGTTGTTGTGACTGAAGGGTTAAGTTATATGGATTTTGTACATAATCATAATAAATATCATTGCCAGTTTGGATATTTTGATCATGCGGTACATAGATTGGAGTAAAACTTTGCACAATTGAAGCTGGAGGAATTCTATTTAAGCTAGGATACTGATTACCAGTTATAAGATGACTTATTGGCACTCTAGGTGATAATGATGATTCAACATCTTGATTAGAACTTAGTTTATCTAATTTCATGGTATCATGCTCATAATTATGATGTTTTTGTTGTGTCTGATTTTGCTGTGATAACTGTTCTTGTTGTTGCTGTTGAATAAGAGAATCACGTCTCTGATAATATGAACCATCATTCAAATTATTTTTATGCGAATGTTCTTGTTGATGATATGATTGAAACACAGGCTGTTGAGTACCTGTTGTTGATTTTGACCAAAATTTATTTTGAGAATCTAAAGTAAATTGTACTGGCGAGTTGCCTTCTTCTACATCGATATGTTGCTGCAAATCATTTTGAATATCGAAATTTGAAAGCCTCAAATGTGTATCGTATACTGTAGCTGATTTTATTGGAATTGGTGATGACTCAGTTTTTGAAATAGATATGGTTTCAGATGAATTTTCAACAATTGTACTGTTTTGAACTGTTTTTGATGTATCAGATACCAAGTCTGGCAACATTGAATTGAGTCCAGCTAATTCTCTACTCGAAGTATACATTCTGGCAGGGGAATCGCTCAACGTGGTATTAATTTGATTATTTTTGAAATTATTTAAAAATTCATTTTGTTGTACCGTAATTGAATGAGCATTCAATGATTGCAGAACATTTGCTGCTTGTGGTATAAATAAAGGTACGTTCACAATTTGTTTTGAAGCTACATCCTTAAAATAAATATAAATTATTTTATGCTTTTAAAAGATATTGTGTTTCCTTACTTGTCCAAAAATGACGGGTTGCTCAGTTTTGTTAGTATCAGCAGGAGGTTGCAATATAATGCTACTTCTGATTGTTGGCACATTTGTATTACAGCTTTTTAGATTTTGCGTATTGTTCTCTTCGTTCGTTAGATTTTGATCAACCACAAGTTCTAATGATTTGTTAGCATTATTATTTGGCATTATCTCCACAGACGGCTCTATCATGAAATTACCTGGATGGGGAACAGGTTTTCTGATTACTCGATCATCTGAAACTTGAATTTAATATTTTTAATATACATTTAATATACATTTTTAATATATTTTTAATATACATTATACATTATACATTATAATGTATATGTATAATTTAATACATTATATATAGTTTTGTTTTTAGCAATTTTTTAGTTTTTAACACTCAGTAGCATATTTAAATTATTTATACATAGACAATAATATTAAACTGTAAAAATTTATGAAAGTGCATATGATAAATAATTTTAAAATATTTACCATTTTCTTTAAAAAGCTCTGCCTTTAGTTCAGGTAAAAATTCACCAATTCTTTTCCATGTTGAATCCCATAAAATTGAATGTTCACCACTATTATCGTTGGAGTGAAATATTTTAACAGAATGCATAACCAATAACATATTTTTCAAAATCTCTAACATTTGTTCATAAAGCATGTCGGAACCCACTTTCATAAATTTCTCAATATAATCCAGAATTTCTATCCAAACCTCATTAAATGTTGGCAATTCAATAAGAGGAGTTAAATGATGTAAAAATACTTTCGACATTATAGTTGCTGTGCGAATGCGAGATTCTTCTAATAGAGATTGATCGATTCTTCCAATTGAACTACTTTCTGGTAATAGTTCATTTAAGAGAGGAAATAATACCTGTCTAAAGCAACTAGCCCATTCTGTTCCCGTTAAAGTTTGTAAATCGTGTACTAATAGAGCTCTTTGTTGCAAACATGATATAGCATAAGTTCTGACTTCTCGTCTGCAATCCATTGCAAACCTAGCAATCCCTTGGAGTAATGGACACCATCCTTGTGCCCATAACGCGGAACATTGTGGTACAGCGCAGCCTTCTTCAGCCCACCACCTGAATATTTGTGCTGTTCTTGTATACAATGTATACATTAAATCTAATAATTGAATTGAAAGCTGTTCAAATCTTTGATTTAAATCTTCATCTTCACTGTCGCTAGTTTGGTCATCTATACCATTTCCGCTGTTATTTTGATTCCGTTGTTTTCGGTTACGTTGTAAGTCCTTTCGATTAAAGGATTTTTTTCGTAAATGTTTCCCGGACGAGTTTCTTCTTCGCGCTTTCAAACCACCATCTAAACAAGCTTCTACAAATGTTCGAATACACCGAACACAGGATTCAAAATTATAAGGAGTTATGTGGGCAACATTTCTAACAATAAAAGCCAAACTATCCCAACATTTAAATAAAGCAAAAGGCATTTGTTCAACCAATTTACATGGATATACTAAACTATTAACACCAATTAAAGGTGACTGTGGACGGGATGATAAAGAGAACTCTCCAGAATCTTTATTTACTAGTATCCAATTTTCTGTAGTTGGACTGCCATGTTGTTGATGAGGTGTACCTGAATTTGAATTATTTGTACTTTTTGATATTATTTCAGAGTCAGATATATAACCCCGATCTGGCAAACCCGAGTCCTCTTCACTACTTAATGCACCATCTGATTTTGTTGCAGGTATATGCGGAATGTCATCAAATTCTGGTGGCAATGTACCAGCACCGACACATTCTAATGTCGTAAATATTATTTGCCAGTCAGCTTCTGTATGTATATTTTGTGCACTAGTTTTTAACAGCTCATAAATGCCTAAAATGGTTTAGAAAAAACATATTTATAAAGCAATACATGTAAGTTAAATTTACCTGAAGAAATTTGTTTAGATATTCTATATATAACATTTGGTTTTAATCTTAATAAAATATTTAGACTTTGAAGTATGATGGGACACAATTCCTCATTTCTCATTAAATATATAGCCAATTTAAGTAAAGCCACTGTTGTTCTATTTAATAAGTAATCATAACCACAAGATGAGCTCCCAACTAAAAGTAAATTGAACTGATCTCTAACAGAATTCCATAAAGGTAACATGCGATCACGATTTTGTATAACAATTTTCACTAAAAATTCCATCCAAAATACAACAATATCTTCTGAATATGGTAAACCCACTGATTTATGTGCACTTGGTGCCTTTATTAGCTCAAGCAAACATTTTAATAATTCTTGAAGTGATTCATACTGTATAAATTTTGACTCCTGTATAATTTGATCAATTTGACAATCTTTAATACATTTTTTTGATATTTTAATGATTTCCTGTTCTTCATAGGATGGTTCACGTTGGCCTTCTGAACTTAGATATGAATATAAGCTGCTAAATAATCCAGGTTCCTGCTTTTGTATACGCTTTTCCAGTATAAGTGTAGCCTTTCCACTTTGTAAACAAAAATCTTCAACTTCAATCAAAGATTTTGGTAAAAGTTTTAAACGAAATAATTGAATAATAATTTCTAAAATATTTTTCCAACCCTCACGTAAACAATCTCCATATTCATGAACTAAAGAAAATACTGTTCGTATTGAGGCTTTTGCTTTTGTATTTAAACCAAACTGAACTGCAATTTGTATATCATTTCCTTCTAATTGGATATTAAGGAGTGTAGAAAATTTACACAAAGTCAAAATTAAAGCATCAAAATCTTGATGAAGGCTATAGTAAGCTGATATCGCAGCACACTTAGAAAAACCTAGAAACAGGAAAATTAAAAAAAAATTACATCGGAATCAAAGAAATTTATACAAGAATACCATTCAATGTCCTATGATATCCACTTTCACTACTCTTATCAAACATAAAACTTAAAGCTGCTAATGCTGAACCCCATACAATATTAAATAAATCGCTATCATATACTGCATCTTGAACATGATGGTAAAAACCGTCCTTTGTATTTCCACGACGTAATAAAACCTTCCACATATAATTCTCTTTCACAATGCCAGTTTGTTCAGCAGGCATTACAATTTCTTCATTCCTTCAAAAATTTTAATATAATCTTAGAAAGTTCATTCAATGTAACAAAAATAATTTAAAATTACTTGATTGCATTAAAAATGTTAAGAAGCATATCTTGATCAAAATCCTTATTACCATTCAAACCTCTTAAATTCTTACAAAAATCTTCCGACGTCATAGGGACATTTAACCTTTTTGCATTATAGTTGTGTTGATCCATGTTCAACATGATAATTGCGTACGCCAACCTGAAGGCAGCATCTGTATTTGCAAACGGTTCATCATTTTGTTTCTAAAATATATAACAATGTTCATATAATTCATTGTTTTTTTTTTTTTTAAATAATCTAAAAAAATCTTACACTCCAATGATCTGCAAAATGCTCCATAACTAAAAATATTAACGGTGCTTCACCAGGTAACCTAAATGTTTCCAAATACATTCTCAAAGCTTGATCAATTCGTGTATTTTTAAAATCAAAGCTTTCAACAAAATTTTCTAATATTTTACTTTCTACATTTTTCTTCTTACTAATATATTCACCAATCATCTTCTTATCTAAACCCGAATTTTCACGCAAAAATAATGCAACTTCCATTGGATCCAATTGTGGATTTAACAAACCATTCTCTTGCAAAAACTGTATTCCTTTGTCAGGCCTTTGGTTAAATAATTCAGTACCTTGAGTTAAAATTCTTTTTTTATTTTTTATTTCCAAAAGTTCTTCTTTCGTTTTAGCTTTTGATGCATCTATATGGAGAAAATGTCTCTCCGGCCGCTTAATAAAACTCGATATATTTTCTACAATTGAATTGGTTTCATCGTTCTCGTTCAAAGCTTCATTATTATCACCATTATCAATAGTTATGCCTTCAAGTGTTGAACTTTGGCGCGAATGTCGATTAGAAGAAGATGCCGGTACAATTGAACAACCAGATTTTGTGGCAACACAATTTCTTTCAATATTTTCTACTACGGTAATTAAAGCTTCCATTGATAAAATATGTATACTGTACACTGATGAAGTGGCCGATAATGTACTTTTTGACAAAAGTTTTGTTAAATTTTCAAATAAATCTGAACAATATAAGTCACAATCATAATTTATATAAAGTTCTGCCACAAATCCAGGAATTCGCCAAAGTTGTAATATGTTGTCAAGCGATAGTTCCCGCATTTCATATGGTGTTCTTGGATTCTCACTAACAATAATTTCTGAAAGTTTTGTTAAATAGGCTTCTAATTGAAATTTTAAATGTGTGCGAAGGGATTCGAAAATCAAGAAACAAAGCTGTATATCCGCTGCAAATATTGTTAATCGCTCTGATTGCAGCAACTAAAAATTAAAAAAAAATCATTTATTAGCGAAAAGTACAAAAATTAGAAAAATTTACAGAAAAAAGATTTCGACATAAATCGTCCTTAACAAGAGATAAAAGTGTGTCGTATTTTCCAATATTATCAGCAGCCACTTCAAAAGCAACAGTTAACAAACTTAATCCCATATGCATCATGGTATCAGTATTTTGCTTATCTAAAGGATTGCATAGTAATATCAAAAATCTGAAAAGTTCTTGTATACAAGGCAACCCGTATGGTAACAGAACGCCGTTGCCATCTACATCAGTTGAACCATGATGCGTAAACCTAACACCTACAGAATTAATATATTCGCCTTCATCCTTCGATCCTGTTTCTTCCTTGGATTCCTCATCAACTAAAGGTTCTTGTTGGTCATCGTTACTGGTGATGCTTTCATTGTTACTTTCACGATCTAAACCTTCTTTTTGTTCAACATGAACTTCAGCAACATCATTTTCCAATAACTCTTCGCTTTCGGTTACTGTATCCATTCCAGAAATCGGGGTTTGGGTAATTTTCCCTTGCATATCTAAAATATTACCTGCTGGTGTTGCAGGCGTTGTAGCTAAAGGAGGTACCTTTAATGTGGTGTTATTGTTTGCAAGTTGTAAGGGTGGACTTTGTGGATCATTTAATTTTTCTTCCGAGGATTTATTAATATTATTTTTGGATGTATCTAAAGGTTGTGTATTTTGATGTGTTACAGTAGCACTCAATTTCGAGCTGGCTGATTTAGACTTTTTCCGTTTACCAGAAGAATTTTGATCCATAGGTCCAGCCACCATTAATTTTTTCAAAATACTTGCACCTTGAATATCATCTGAAAATTGAGGCAAACGCATGAACAATAGCAGAACCATATCCTTTAAAGCTTGTTCCGCTGTTCTACGTAATAGTTCATTCAAACGTGGTTCAAAACATATTTTAAAACAACTTAACATAACTTCACAAACATTTTCATTTGTCAAAGCACTGCCCTCTGGGCTTCGCATTAAAGTGTGTAACACTTCAACCACACGCATAAGCGTAACTCCGTCCGATGCTTGATCTGTTCCCATGAACCTGGCGTGAGTTACAGCATCTGCAATATTCTCCACCGTTGAAGCCAAACTGGGATGTGTTGGATCTGTAATTAACGTTTAATTAAATTAATTAGAAAATTTTATAGGTGAAAGGTAGCTATGAAATTTTGAATTTTAAAAATATTCTTCTTACCTATTAAACCGTATGAAAGAAACTTATTTACTGCCGCTAATGCTAAACTAGTGACTGCACCTGTGGTTTCTTCAGTTCTAATAACTTCAAGAAATGGACCCAAAAATATGATTGGATCGATTAGTCTCAAATCTTCAATTTTACTTAAAACAAGCTTCAAATCAATGAATAACTTCAACAATCCATCTTGCTCTTCTTCCTTAAAACCGAAAATATGAAATTTCATAATTAACTGTTATATTAGAAATATATACATAAATTACTTGATACGATGTGGAGTAACGAGAACGTTTCATCGCAGTCATCAAAGTGGACATTTCCCCACGAACAACAAATATGCCGTTACCTGGTAAAGCCATTACTTTTTTTTATAATTATAATATATTAAACTCGAAACTAATTTTATTTTTTTTTTAGATAAAAACCATATCAAGCTATATAAAAATTCAAATAAATTCCACTACTCATATTTTGCTAGAGCCAACGACGACAAAATTTTTATGACAATTTATAAAAATCTTACATATGTCAGCTGATGTCATCTAACAATATTCAATGAAATTAGGTAAACGCCACCTAACAGACAAAAAGTAAGATAATTGTATACACATAGTAATTTGAAGTTTTCAATTTGGTTTGACATGCCGACTCTCCAACTGTTTAGAATCTCTGTCTGCGCTAAAAACGAAGGAAAAAAAGCTTTGAATTGCTTTAGAAATAGGCAATAGGAATATTAAATATACAACATATAGAATCTTACAGTAAATTGTATATTACATATATCGAAATTAACAGATTTGGAATTTCCCTCCAATTCCTTTTTCTTTCTCTTTAAAGAAACTCTATTTTATTTTACAGCGCAACAATTTAAAATATCAACACGTAAGGTTTTATAAAATAACAAATTGGCAAAAAAATCTTCATATCCCTTTCCTTTCGATTACTGTAAAAACTTAACTAGAATTTTTATGCTTCGTTATGAAAGGAAAAAAAGGGAAACTTAGTTGGTAAATAGTTCTACGTGAAAAAACGAAATTTTGCCTTTACAAAACACTTTGGAAAATGAGAATGAGAAAAAAAAAATTCTAAAAAATAATTTCTACAACGAAAATGAACTAAAAAATACTAAAAAAAATACAATTTTATCTAAAAAATACTTTGTTTATACTTATAAACCTTGTGGTCGAAGTTACAGATTGATTGTGGAGCTGCATAATCTAATTCTGGGCAGCCAACATATTTATAAATTGTTGCATACTACAATGATCGAAATTGTAATTGAATTCCAATTAAGCGCCAACTATACAGACTGAATTTGTTAGTTAAATATAATTTTTTTTGCAGTATACATATTGTAAACTATAAGTATAAAATTATTTTGTTTTGATACAAAAAAGGAAAATATGTATGTAATTTAGTGGAAATTACAAAAAACAGAAATTAAAAAGAAAAATGCAATTTATTTCAAGCTTAAGTCTGCAAAAGTCTGCAAATGCAAACAGTCGGTAATGTGTAATCTTATTTTTACGATATCAGTTTACTGCGCCATCTATATGTCAATAAAAATGTTATCATTTTTCAATTCACAATAATTTTATACTATCGTACTACACCGACAAATATATGCTATAGTATTTTTGGAGGCACATTCAAATTAATCCCATTTAAATGAAAAGATAAAAATGGGTATGAATTTATATCACATTTATATGAAAATGTAGTAAATTATTGGATAAAGTTTATTTAAGCTATTAGATATGTTATGATAATAAACTGAATGATAATTTTGTGCGAAGTGTCCGTCGGCGGTTCCGTACTCTTTTTCAATTTAAGTAATTTTAATTTAGTCAATTCATCATCAAAACTTAATACGTTTTAATAAAAATTTGTAATTCAAAAAATAAAATAAACTTATAAATTTCTAAATACTTTTATTTTTTAATAACTTGTATTAATACATATTTCAATTTTATTCGAGATACAGATTTGTCGATATATACTTATATTATTTTTATTTTTTTTTAATTTTTCACATCTTCTCTTTTTTTAATTATGTTAATATTATACTAATAAAAAATTGTTTGTACAAAGATTTAATATCTGCATTTAAACTTAAAATAAATAAAAACAATATAATTAATAAGATTTTCTAATTGTATAAACGAGTACAATAATAAAAAAGCTGATTGAAATAAAAAAGAAAAATTTCAAATTTATTTAATGTCCTTTCAAAAGAAATATATGCATGTATACATACTTATTTTCGATTAGTTTTATTTAAAGGATAATTTTATATTTAAGTATGGTATTAGCATCTAGAATAAATCCTTTAGAACTATTAGAAATTGAATTAGATTTTTCTTGAATCAATTATTTGATAAATTTTAATAATTTTATAAAGACGAATTTTCAAGAGAAATTAAAAATTATTTGCAATTGTACCATACAAAATTTTTTTATGTTGGAAATTAATCTTCAAGCTTAAATAAAATTTTGTTTGTAAATAAAATCTTGGTTTTGGGAGCAGCATCAAAGCATGGAAAATCTATTGAGAATAATAAATGGTTGCATGATTTTGCGGTAAAAAAAATATTCAAAGCTGTGAAATTCCATAATTTTTTAATTTTATATATTTTAGTTGTTTTCGAAAAATGTTTTTTTTTTTAATTTTTTTAATTCATAAGTATTTCAGAAAACACTTTATATCGTATATCTTTATTTTAATGCTTATATTCAAATGTACGAATCAACATAATGTACACATGTGGTACGCATTCTATGTTGAGTTTACAATTCGCCTTTTCAATTCAATTCAGTTTACAATTTTTAATTCAAAAAAAAAACTGGAATAATAAATAATAACTCAAAGTATACAAAATATTTACAGAAGAATATTATTATTTTCTCTTTAATAAAATACAATTAAACAACAGAATAAAAATTAAAAAATCCTTATTATTGGACTCATGGAAATATATTTATGTATGTATGTATAAATGAATATAATATACCTACAATATTGGAAGTAGAAACTATCACAAAAATTATTTTTAACAAAATATTTTTTTTCTTAATTTAATTAATTATTTGTTATTTGAAAATGCAGTTTACAATTATATTTATTATTATACTTAATGATTACAATAAAAGTAAATATTATTTTTTTTTTTAATGAAATTGAAATAAAATATAAAATAATAACCATAAAACAAAATAATAATACATATCTATTTAAGTATTTAACAATCTAAAATTAATACAACAAAAGAAAAAGTCTTAAGACTTATATTCTAAAATATTATTATTATTCTATATAAAATGTAACCAGTGCTTCTTTATTGTAAATATCAAGATTATAATAACAGAAAAACATTTCAAGAATTCACTTTAAAACAAAAACCTAATTTTTAATTTACATAATTACAATACATAAGATAAATTTATTAATAATAATATGAAATATAGAATGAAAATTGAAATATAATCGTTAATAATAATTGTTAAATTAATTGTTTAAAACATAATTTTTTTGTTTTTTTATTTCTTTTTTTTTTTTTATTTGGCATTTGAACACTAAAATTATTTAATTCGAGTATAGGTAATTTTAAATATAAAATAAAAAAAAATTAATATTGAAAACTGTTATTATTTTAGTTCCTACAAATTTTATTTTATTAGCGTTTGTGAAATGCATTATTTTTTACTTTTTTACTTTTTTCCCTGCCTTTTTTTGCAATTCCAATTTTATATACTACAACTTTTTGGAAGAAAATATTGAAATTTTTTGAAATACATAAATAATTTTTTAAGAAAAGTATTTTAATTATATTTGAAAAGAAAAGAAAAGAAAAACTAAATTGAACAATATTCAAATAAATTTTAAGTGTTCAAATAATTTTGTTAATAATTTAGTATATCGCTATACAACTGCGATTTTATAATTTTATTGAATTTTATGATTTATATATTTGATTATGTATAATACAAAATGATTTTTTTAAAATAATAAAAATTTTTTGTAAGTTTAGATTAAAATTTATATTTTAAATATGTAATTTTTCTTATATAATGCCTAATGCATTCAAAATACGAATCAAATATTTATACAAACTTATATGAAGTAATATAATGTTGTTTAAAATTCATGTTTTTTTTTTTGAATACCAAAACTAATCATAATGGAATAATTAAGGCATTTATAGGACGAATTTATATAATGTAAATAAAGTTAAACAAGTATTTAAAAATTATTAAGAAATAGAAATAAAGACAATGAAAAAAAATAAAATTGATATGCTATTAAGTATGTTGTAAAATTTATAAATTAATACTTTCATACAAATTTTCATAATAACAAATATTATTCTTTAAAATTAAAAAAGGTAAAGTTAAAGTAAAAAATAAAATTCATTTTTAATGCTAATTCAATATGTTTCTTTGTTTGTTTTTTTTTTTTTATTTCAATTTTATTATTAATTAATCAAAACTTTTAATCGCTTTCTATTTTATTATTTAATTTCATAATACTTTCGATACCAGAATCTTCATCAGTACTATCACTTTGTCTAATTTTTTCTGATTTTAAAACCATATCATTATTTATTTCAACAATATTACTATTATTACGCTCTGAATTATTAACATTTAAAATTTTATTTCTAAAATAATTCGTATTACTTTCATTACTACTACTACTGTTGCTATTATTTTCTTGACAATAATTATCAGTATATTCTTGTTGTTGTTGGTGATAATTAAATTGTTGTTCCTGTTGTTGTTGTTGTTGCCCACTAATATCATCAATTAATATTATATTAATTGCTGGTTTTATTTGTCTGTATTTTAAAATTGTTTTAGGCGCTATACGTTTCTGTTTATCATTATTTATAATAGTATTTCCCATTAGAGATTCATCATTATTAATTGAATTTGAATTTCGTTTACCGAATGTACTGAAATTCATTTTATTTTTATTTTCCATTATTTCGGCAACATCTTTTTGTGTTGTGATTATATTTTCTGGTATAAATTTTGTTAGTGGTTCATCATCATTCTTACAATTATATGATGGTTTTACTGTTGATGATGTTATTAGAATTTTCTGTTGATTATTTCTTTCATTAATATAATCATCAGTCGTTGAAAATTGATTAAAAATTGGAGTTGTTGTTAAAACTTCAATTGGTAATCTTAATTTCGTTTTTGCGTGACATAATTCACCTAATGATTGACGATCTGATAACATTTCGGCCTATAATTAATAAAAAAAAAAAAAACAAACAAAAATAATTATAATAAAAATATTAGTAAATAAATAAATTTAAAACAAAGATGTTTAGTTGACAGTAATCATTTTAAAAATAATATAAAAATCATATTTTTAAAATGAAATATTTATGTTTTTTAATATACCGATTCTCCTACACCACTATCTGGTCTTTGATTTTCTTCATTTTTATCTGGTGAATCTATAATATCCCTGCTTTGATTATTAATGTTACTCATTGGATGAGTCCATTTAATCTCATTATATGTCGCTAAACCTTGCTCAGTATTATAATTATCAATGTCCTAAAATTTATTATATATGTTCCTTAAACCGTATATTGTTTTTTATATTAAAACTTACGTCTACTTGAGACCAAGAAAAATCTGAATCGGTCGGCCAAGTATAACAAGCATTAAATTGGCTACCTCCATGAAAAGGTCTCATCGAACTCGAAACAATAAATCCATCTACAATATATCCAAAACATATTTTTAATTTATTTATAATGCTTTTTTTAAAGTACGTACCATCGAACTCCACTAAAGAATTTTTTTCGGGGAAGTTATAAAATTCTTTATGCGTACTCAAAATAGGTTCACTATAGGCTGGTGATAAAGATAAATTTTCTCGGGGATATTCATAAACTGAGTGATAACGTTGTTTTTTAAACACAACGTTACGGCGTTTCTTTTCGTTTGCCTAAAATATTCAACAGTGAAATTTGTAATATTAATAATTAAAAAAAATTATTTTTTTATTAAAGTTTAATAGAAATGTCGGGAAATCAAGGAGTATTTTAATTTTAGACACGAATGAAAATAGGAGACATAACAGTTTTGATACTTGATACTAACAGTTTCGGTACTTACATTTTGCTGTGGTTTTTCCAACTTTTTTATGATTAATATAAATATAATTTATAATTATATATGTTTATAGATTGCATGAAATTAAAAGTAATATGTGATTATTCTTAGCGCTTTTTCACTAAGACGTATTTGCGAAGATAATATTTTTTTTTTTTTATTTTTACTTGTACAAGAAGGAAAAACATTTGACTTATATGCTTGTTTAATAAATAATTAATATAATTTGTTACAAAATAAACCGATAATTTTGTTTTATTATACAGGATAACCAATATACGTTAAACCAATTAATTTAGACTAAGTAATTATATCTTCAGTGAGTATAAGGGCAAAAAGAAAATATAACAGAAATAGTTTTTAAGAAATTTTCAAATTAAGATATTACTTATACTTACATTGCTATTGTTTTTGTCAGGACTTTTTAATGCAGATCTAGATGGTTGCGCCATTGAATCCCAAGAAGATGGTACAAATTCTCCTTCGTATTCGGATGAACTTGCTTCCGAAACAAGATCATCATCAGCTGATCCAACTAAAAGTTAATTAAATGAAAAATAATATATAGTTTATAATAATATGAATATTCTTTATTTTACCTTTAAATTTTTCTTTCGATTGTTTATTATTTGATATCCATAAATCTGAATCCTTCTCATCATCATTTGAATAGCCTTCTTGTTTGATATAACGTAAAATTTCTGCATTTGCAGATGGACCTCTAACATACATAAACTCTTCGCTACTATGACTATCATCAACATCACTATCCCATTCGCTTGTTGAATTACTAGCAGTTGTAAATGATGTACTTAGCATATCAGCACTTCCGGGTCCCGTAAAACGTATATCATGTAAAGTTTCAACCTGATTTTAGATCAAACATGAAAAATATAAATTTTAAAAATCTTTATTATTAATGAAAATTTTGTTTGTTTTACTACTACAAATTCAATTGTTTTATAATGCAGAAAAAAACGAAAATTTTTAAATGTAGCTGATACTATAGAATAAATAGGACTTAGTTTTTATTCATGTATAGAAAATATTTATTTTTAAAATTTAAAAGTAACAATTATAAGTTGAGAAATAGTAAAAATAAAAGAAAATGCTGTTTGCATTTCTAATTTTTTGAAATAATTTTTTAAAGTGAATGTTAAAGATTCGAAACTTTTCATTCTGCATTTACGGTCTTTAGAAAAACATTTTGATGAAAAAGAAATGAACTTTGCCATTACTGAAATCGGCTAAAGAATTAAAATCTTTATTTAAGTGAGAAAAAAAATCCTTTCGCTTAAATTTAAAAATGAACAAGTAAACAATTTTGAAGGATTAGTTAAGAAAAAATCAAATTCGAATATTATCAAAAATATTTTAAAAATATATTTGATATCACAGCAGTATGATAGTAACAATAAAATCGAAACAAGATTAAAATTCAATTATAATTATAAAATCATTATTATTCCATTTTAATAAAATTTAGTCGTATTTTATTTTATAAAATGTACTCGAATATTTTGTTAACAATCATATTAGCAATTGAAAATTTTTATGTTTTTAGTAAAAAGCATTATTATGTAAGTAAATTTATTTAATTTTTAGTGTTTTAATATTTTCTAAAAGCTATTCATGCTTGTTTTTTAATAAAATGAAGCTCTTGCAGTGAAAAATTAATATGAAAGAAAAATATGAAAAAAAAAAAAATCTTTAAAAATTAAAACGCTATTATAATTTGCAAATATAGATTTATTAATAAAATCTACCGAAAATTTCAACATATTTACGCGACTTTGTTGATTTTATTTTATATGTATCTTGATGAGTATTATTATAAATAAAGTGAATAATTTTAATTCGAATTTTTAATTAAATTTTGGTTTATTTTGAAATAAGAATTAAATATTGTTTAATTTCTTGACTAAAAAGGGAATTTTTCAAAATTATTATTTAAATTGTTTAATTAAAATATTTTATTGTAACAATAATCTAAGATAGATTTTCACATTTTTTTAAATAAATTAAGAGTGTATAACAAAAAAAATAATAATATAAATTAGACATTATTATAAAAGCTATAATTTTGAATCTTTCTTCGAAATCAAAATCTTAACTATTCAGATTAGCAATGTTCAAATATTAAATCCATTTATTGTAATTCGCTTTTTTTTCAATTCACGTAATTTAAAGTTTAAGCTATTTTTCCTTGTAATGGGTAAAAATAAATCCGAAAAAATAAAAAAAAAAACAATATTATAAACAATATAATCACTCATGTATTAAAAAAAAAAACGTAGTTCCATAAGATAATAAAATATATTTTTTTTAATAAAAAATATTTTCGAAAAAATTGCATATTTTATTAATAGATTTGTTCACTCTTCTATTTTTTACTATTATCAAATAACTTTTTTATTTCTAATGAGAACATTTCAAATTAAGATATTATTAAATATTATTAAAATATTATTAAATATTAACTTAAAGTTTGAAATAAAAAAAAATCATAAACTAACTTTCAAGTTAAAAAAAAAAAGAAGAAACACATAATACACTCATCAATATTAAGAAGAAAAATATTTTTTAATAATATTTACCCATGGATCTTCTTCACCAGATAAATGATTAATAACATCTTCTGCTACCAATAATTCATCATCTTTTTGTTTTGAAGGCAATATTATACTGGATGTTAATTCATTACAATTATGCTGTTAATTTAAATATGGATTTTTGTTTATATCTCGTATTTTTGTTTTTTTTTTTTGGTTTTTTACTATTATAGTATACTATTTTTTATTTAATTCAAGATAATAATATAAATTAAAAAAATATCTCAAGTGTTAACTAATTTTTTTCTAATTAAAAAATTTAATTTTCTTCTCTTTACCTTTACTTTAAATAATTTACTTATCATTATGATTTTTTTTTTTAATTAAATTATAAATCGTAAAAAAAAAAAATTAATGTTAAATTAAAATTCTGTTCACTGCAACAGCGGCAACAACTCAAAATTTAAGTTAATGTGCCCTTGTGATTCTTGTATTGTTTTATAATTTATTTAAAGGCTTATTTCTGTATAAATAACTCAGAAACTGTATCTTTTGAGTTATGTCACTGTTGCATTTGCTGCAATATATATAATTTACATAGTATACATAATAAAATATTTTGGAATTCTCTTGTTATATTATATTTAATAACACATTTTACATTTACCAATTTTATGTTTAAAAAAACAGTGAATTCCAAAATCTTAAAAAAAAAATCTATTCATATTTTTAAAAACGTTAGTAAGTATATTATAATTATGTGCTTTACAAAAAAAAAAAAAAAAAACAATTTTCTTTATAAATTAACTTATGAGTCTATATCTTTATTTAATAGAAATCTTCCACCACACTTATTTTTAATATTTAAAGGTGATAGCACAAAATAAATTGTTCTAAGAAATATTAGATTTAAATTATGTGCAATATTTAAAAAATATATAAGTACCGTAATTCTTATTAATTGCTTAAAACAAAACAGAAAAACTTCTCTTCATTTCCTTAAATAAAAAATTTGTACAAAAAATTTATAATGAAAATTTCACTAAATTTATAATAAATCTGTTTACTAAACACCCAAACTTTTTGTATTTTTGTTTTTTAATTAGAACATAATATACAAGTGAAATATCAAATGTAAATTGAATAAACCGCTTGAATTTCTGTAAGCACACACATTATTTATTTTAAGAAAATATGATCAATTAAAGGATATTATAAAAGAGAATTGAATATTTGTAAAAGTGAATAGGTAAAACAGACTCAAATTGATAAACTTAACTAATTTGGATTAATTGTAGAAAATTATATATGGACAAAATTTAAAGACTCTAGTTATATTGATTAATTGTTCAAATAAAAAATTTTATTTGAGTACTTTCATCTTTTAATTTAATTTTGCATGTAAAAAACCTCTTAAAATAACAAAAAGTTTATTATTTTTATAATAATTTACACTTTTGATGAAAATTTTTCGAAAAAAAAATCTTTTAAAAAAATGCACTGTAAGGAAGAGTATCGAATGCCTTTAAAAACTTAAAACTTAACCTAAATTTAAGCCCTTAAATAATTTGAACTTAAAAAATAACTAAAAAAAATTTATACAAATTTTTTCCATAATAAAATTTCCAAATGCGTGGCAAAGAATTATTTCTATAAAATAATTTAATTTATAAATAACTGAAGGAAGAATCAAGTTTTCAGAAATAAAATACTTTTGTGGTATTTTGAATTTTTGGTTTTTTTATTTAATTTTTCATATATACCTTTGTTATTTAGTATAACACATTTTTTCAATTATTATATTTTTTTATTTATTTTTATTTCTAAATAATTAAAACATATTCAAGAAACTGAAACAAATATATAAAATAATATTTTTTTATGCTCCTAATTTTATTTTTAAATATATTTTATAAAATGCAAATTATGTATTTATAATATGACTTTATTGAAATGTGTTTTATAAACGAAATATATGTAATGAGAATATATATATATATTTTTTTTACATGAACTAATTTATAATAATTTATAGTAGAAATTTAATAATTATAAAAAAGAGTTTTTAATATGATAAGTAATGTAAATTTAAATAAAAAAAAATGTATATTACTATATTTTTAATAATTAATTAATATATAATTCTAAAATTTATTCGAAATAAATGTATTTTATAATATTTGAAGTGATACTTATTGGTCAAATATTTAAAGCAAAAAAGGTAAAATAAAAATTCTTTTTTTTTTGAAAAATTAATAATATTCAAATTACATAGTACTTGATTTCACTAAAATTTTTTAATATTTAATATGTAATTTATTTATATAAAATGAAAGTAAATTTCTAAATAGGAATAATTTGTTCATAACATAAAATAGAAGTAATATGTTCAATTTTTAAATATTATGCTAATATTAAAAATTTATTCAATAATGCGCATGCATTTAAATATTTGCATGCAAGTAAATTGAATTATATAACTTGAATTATTTCGAATGCAATAAATATTTGCAATAAATTTAATTAACTATTTATGAATATGAAATGGAATCATAACGCATCTTCGGACTCTGATAATATTGTGTACAATACTATTAGAAATTAATTGCAAAAGGTAAATTCAAAGTAAAGCAAAAAATAATAATGATAAAATGGCTATTATAAATAACCATTATGAATTCAAATAAAATTATATTGATTGATATTTTTAAAATATTTAAAATTTTTACGATATTTTTTTTTAGGAAGGGGTTTATTGAAGTATTGTTGTATTAAAAAAAAATTTCATTGTTGAAAATATTCAAATTTATGAAAATAATAATATTATGTAATAAATTACTCAAAATTTTAAATATAAATTATTAAATTATAATTCCTCTTATTGTGTAAAATTTAATATTAAATATATTTAAGTTCGTATAGAATTTTTGCTTCAAAATTTTACCCATTAATTAAAGATATTTAATTAATTTTTAGATATAGATAATTATGCATATGTACGTATTCTGTATTATTTTATTTTATTAATATTTAACCTATTATGCACATAAGATAAAATTTCTTGATTTGTTTTTTTTGTTTTCATAACTATCCAATTATTTTAAAAAATTTAATTTTGATAATCAAAATTATTTAAGCTCTAAATATAAATTAAAATCAATAATAATTTTATTATTTTTTTTTCCTAATATTAACAATAATAGTAATAATAATATTGAATTGGTTAAATTAAAAATAATTACAAAAATTTTATTTAAAAAAAAATAAAAAATATTTTTTTTTTTTTAATTTTCTTTCAAACTTTATAGAAATTTTCCTAAATATGTTTAATAATTTCTACATAACATTTATATATCAATATATTTCTATGTTTGTTTCATTTTATATATATATATATATATATTATGTTTGTATAACAGTTATGAACAATTTTTCTTTTCATTTTAATTAATTTAATCATCCATTCATGCCTCACGCGCAGATTTTTTGATTCACTAAAATGGAGAATAAAAAAGAAAAACAAGAGAAAAAAAAGAACAAAAAATAACGAAAAAAAAAATTAAAAGAAATTAACAAATATGATTTTCTTAAAAAGAAAAAAAGAAAACAACAACAACAATAAATAATGTTAAGAATTTAAATCTGATTTAGTTTTGCAAAATTTTACAAGAAAAGAAAATTTACTTTTGTAAAAATTTCTTCAATAAATTTAATAAATTATTTTAATATAATATTAAAAATTTATTAATTTATTTTACTTTTTAAATAACATTTAAAAACGCAAAAATAAAGATTTAAAAAAAAAAATAAATTAAAAGAGGACAGCACAATCAAAGCGAAATTAATTAATAATTGAAATTAGTCCCCATGACATATTTTGGTAGTTATACCATTTTATTTTTACATTTAAATGAAAAAATAAAATTTTTAAAAAATTTAATTTAAATAAAATTCAAAGGCGAAATAATATTGGTTATTATTTTTGTTGAATTGTGCACGTGTGCGTTTTATATGTCGTAAACGTAAAGGTTTTTCATAAATTCTGTAAAATCAAATAAAAAATTATCCGAAATTATCAAATAAAAATTAAAAACAAAACAACGAGTTTTTAAATTAAAACAAAAAAAATAATAAAAATTTTACAAAAAAAAAATAAAATGTACTTTTATCGGTTTTATAAGAAAAAGTTTTAATTTTTTGAGGCAAAAATAATCTATGAATTTTAAATATTTGACAAGTAGTTTACATTTGTTTTCATTTTAAAAAATCAATGTAACTTCAAAGAAAATAAATGCAAAAATATTAGAAAAATTACAGAAATATGTATAATATGATGAGGGACTAATCAAAAAATATTAAATATAAAGAACTGCCAAAATTATATCTATATTTTCATACTTTTTGTGTTTACATTTTTATACTTTGAAAAATTATGTTTATATTTATAATTTATATTGATAAAATATATGTATGAACATATATTTTTAATTTAATTAAAATTAATACAAATTTGAAATTACTTTGTTTGAATGAAAAATTTTTTAAAATTTAAATTCTGGACAATGTTGAGTAAAAGGGTTTAAAATTAATTGCAACTGATTTGAGTTATAGAACTTAATACTTTTATGTTACATATGAGATATCTTGACATAAAGATTATAGAGTTTCGATCGACAATTTGCTTTGATTGGCAATATTTACTTGCACAAATATTATAATGCACTAACTTCGAAATTTTTTGGTTTTTAAAATTTTGATATTTTAAAACAAAATTTTCAACTTTAATTAAAAAAAAAACAAATAAAAAAAAACTAAAATAAAAATTAAATAACTTAAAAAATTGCGACAACAACAAACACAACACAAAACTACAAATAAAATAAAAATTAAACTTGGAAATTAAAATTATTCCACATTTTCGAAGACAAATTCTAATAACTTTCAAAAATGAAAAATGAAATAGCTACAATATGTTATATTGTACGTAACATTTTTAGCCCCTATGTAGCAATTTTTTTTTTTTTCATTTATTTATGAGATATATGTCGCGCCATATTACTAGTGCACTTTGTTCAGAATTGCGTGGAGTTACAATTTTATTTATTAAATTAAATTTGAAGGGACTTCATCTCAAATGAAAAATATATTTCTGCTCTCGCAATCTTTCCCGGATGATGTCGTCTTGTTCGCTTTCTGAGACTTGGTTTAGTTATATTTTTGTTTCGATATTTAAGTCTTTTGACGTAATAAACTCAAAAATCTAGAATCAAGAAAGATGAGGTTCTCTTAGCAGTGAATATGAACTCACATTTATGTATGTGATTTTGGCTTCCCCAATTAGCAAAGTGTTAACGTTTCTGTTTAAAGATTTGTGCGGATCATCTAATATACACTCCGATTTTGATAGTATGAATCCTTCGGATAATTTTATATTGATGGATAACTTAAATTTTTCTGATTTGGAGAGGGATCTAATGTCTAAGGTATCATTTGCGTCCTATACTTTTTATTGGGGTGACAAGAGACGTTTTTAAGTTTTTTCTTTGCCTCGAACGTAATAGTTTTGCTGATGGCTCTAAGATTTTAAGAGCCGTGAAGTCAAAGGAGGATTGCTTGACGTAAAAGATACGTTTTAGTTTTTGATTGTAGCCTCAGTCATCTAATATAAAAAATGCTTATTATTTCTTCAAATATATACATAATTCCATCAACCAGTGCAAAAATTTTTCATCGAAGTTGTATCTTGCATAAAATTTAAATTCAACCCCACCTTTTACATTCAAAAACTAAATTATTGTAAATTCAAAATTAAACTACATCTAAAGGAGTCATACATTTTTCTTAAATATTACTCATATCATATTATATTAAAAATAATAACTTTCAAGCTAATAATATTTTAACATAAAAATGCCGTTCTTGTTTTTAAACGCACGTATCTTATTTTTATAAATTAAGAAATTGATGATTGCAATTTTAATCAATTAATATAAATGATAGTTGATATCAAATAATAATGAAATTTAGATTGTTGAAGATGTATTTGCAACAAAAATTTCAAATTATTTAAGTTTTTAAAAAATTTCAAATCGCATTTCAAAAATAGTTAAATTATAAATTTTTGTGTCAACCCGATTGAATTTCTCAACAGAAATAAAATTTGTACTTTTAATAAGCTCAAAAAATTGAGTATTACGAACGTTTTAATGTAATTTACAAAATATATTAAATGTTAAATATATATGTTTCTAAGGCTAACATTATTAGCACATAATTTAATTTTAATACATATTAGTCCTTTTAAACAATTGAAATAATTTTTCATTTAACTACTTTTGAAATTAAACGATATTTACTAGATTATGTAGTATTTTGAAATTCATTCTCAAATGATTTTGAATAAAAATTTTAGAATAAAAATACTTAAACATATTTTTTGTAAGCTTAATGCAGTTCAAACCAAAGTAAGTCAGTGATGTAAGTGTTGTTAGTAGCAAAAAGCAAATAATATATTTACAAATATGAAGAATATTCAAGGCATAGTGTTTAAAAAAATGCATATATAGTAATATGTATTTTTTAAAATTTTTTAATTAAAATTTACTTACATATACATTATTTGTTGTTTCATGTTCAGAAATATCAATATGTTTGTCCATTTTTATCACAGTATCCTGATGACCATTTGAAATTTGTACTTTATTTGCATATACTCCAATACCACTACTAGCTACACCATTGGCAATAAATTTATCTTTTGTTCTATCCGTATGAATATGATGGTTATTTTGATGATTAAGATGATCAGTTGAATTTGTTCCACTATTTGGATCATTATAAACATACTTTTTTATATTTGGATCAGAATTTTCTTTTGAATATTCTAGGTGAAAGATATCATCATCTGAGTGTGAAGAACTTAAAGTTATTGCGTCGACAAATCCGTTTTCTAAAATTTGTGTTTCGATCGAGCAATTTTGTTTATATTCTAAATTTTGACTAGACAATGAAAATTCTATTTCTTTTTGAAGAAATTCTTTACAATTATTTTTACTTGTTAGGTCAGTGTTAATGACAGGATACTGTTCCTCATACAAAGGTTCCTGTTGTAATTGATGTTGTTTATGTTGCAAATTGTGTTGTTGCTGTTGTGGACTATGAGGTGAATCTCCAATTGAATCAGTCTCTTGTGCTGAAATATTATGACTTGTGTTATTAGATTTGTCATCTAATGATAACTGTGTGCTATGTCCAGAATCATCGTGACCACTATCTATTCTATTTGTAACCTCTTCTTGATTATTCAAGTCATCTAAACAATTAGAAGATTCTGTGGTTGTTTCATCATCCAGACTAGTTTTATCATTTGGTGCGTTTATAATTATGAGCGGTCCCTGTAGAGCTTCAATTACAATTGGCTTATTTTGGTCTAACGCATCACTACTAGTTTCGTCACTAGGGCTATTTTCTGTTGTAATATTATTAATAGCTACAAAATAGAACAAGTTCAAAAATACTTTTTTAAGCTGTGCACAAAAAAAAATGGCAATACCTTCAAATTCCTTATCAAACGAATTAACATTAAAATCTAAACTTGGCACATCTGTTAAGCTGTTCAGATCGCAAGCAATTGTATCTGCGCCATCACCCGGTTGAATATTATTCGTTTCACAGATATTAAAAGACGCAGTTGAACCCCATTCTGGCTCTGAAATTTCTGATATTCTTTCATCGTCTTTAATAATTACAGTTACGCAAGTTTTATCATCAATTGTATTCATTGTAAATGTAGTTTCATTATCCAAAGTTGGAGAAATATCTGAAGAAACTCTATCTGTTGATGTAGATGTTGTACCATCAGAAAACGTTTTTTGCTCAACTGGTGAACAGAAATCACCACCTGCATCAGGTTTATTTGCATCATATTGTGAGTCTGTTGCAAAAGCAAGGGTTTTTGGTGGTGTCCTGCGGTCAGGTATCACAATAGTGTACTCATTTATACCATTACAGCCATGTGAATTCAAATGTCTATTATCTGAACCACATTTTTCTGTGTCACTACTTGTTGTAATTGTTGTGGCCAATGAACTTGCTGCAGATCTATTATCGTGACTTTTAACAGGAGTTGTAGCTTGACTATCACTTTGTGAAGATAATCGTGGTGAAGCTGCGCAATCTTCTTTGTCACCAAGGGTATCTTCAAAATTAAATAATGTATCATTCGAGGCCATCAGAGCTTTTGAAACGCCCATAATTGCTTCCCCAGTTTCAATACATCCAGTGCTAAGAAAAAATAATTATTTTCTTTAATTATAAATAAGGATTTATTTAGCAAAGAATCATCGAATTGATCACATCCTTGATTTTTTGAAAACAAATTACATTTTTTATAATTTTAATAAATTACAGAGACTGAGTTTAAGTACTTTTTAAAAATACATGCATTAATAGTTATAGATAATTCGAGATACAATAATCTTAATTTGAAAAAATTTGATTTAATGTTACCTTGTACTGTCCATACATTTCGTTTCATTCATGACAAACGTCTTACATGTTTCTTCTGTTTCACTCTCTTCTAAAATAGGTGATAAAGTGCGCTTGTAATTAATGAAAACTTCATTGGGTGCTACAGAAGAGGGGGGTTCAATTTCATTTTCAAGTAAGCCTATGAGACCATCTAGTGGGGATCTGTACTCATCAAACGTTCTTGATTTTTTTTAAAAATATTATAACATAAATTAAAATTTTTTTTACTAAAATTATTACTTATGACTACCTGTTACTTCCTTGTTGATCATCATCTTCGTCTGAAAAATCAGGTGGACCGACAACACCTTGAGGTTGAGGTAAAACTTCAGCTAATTGTTTGCGCAACATATCGAAAGTTAATTCCAATTTTTCAGCATCTTCCTCCTCTTCTTCTTCTTCTTGATCTTCTGGAGCTACATCAAAAGTAGATTCTTTTCTTGTAATAATTTCATTTTCATCACCTATATGCCCGCTTATCATTTCCTGAGGATGTAGGAACCATCCACTACGGGGATAATCTGCATCTTCTGTTGATTTTGTCATTTTATCCCATGTTTCTTGATTATAATTCAATTCGATTGGAGTATTAACTGGTGTTATTGTATTTAATTCTTCTGATGTTACTTCATCTCTCTGATATTTAATTAATGGTTTTAAATATTGATCTCTCTCAATAGCTTGTTTTGAGCTGCAAGGATCACCTGGATATGTAAAATCGTTTTCTTTTATTAAATGATTTGGAATGGCATCATAAGTTTTATTATTCAATTCAAATGTTTCATTATTTTTTTCAATCACATTATATGTATCATTGGCGACATATGTTGCATTAGCATTATAAGTTTTATCATTGGCATTATAAGTAGCATTAGCATTAAATGTTGCATTCGTTATAGGGGAAATTTTATTAGTTTCATTAAGTATATCCAATGAATTATTAAGAAGCAATTCCATACTATTTTGATTATCAGTCTGCAAATCTCGAGCATCGCAGTCAAATAATTTAATTCCATTGTTATGTTCAACTGTTTGTTCGAAACCAAATTTCTTTTGAAATTTATTTGTGATACATGGTGTCGATGTTGATGGCAAAAATTCACTTTCAAAAAGGCATTCTAATGATTCCACACTTTTTAATTTCTTTAAATTACTGATAGGAGAATATGAATTTAAAATTTCAGTCTTTTTATTTAAGCCCTCTTTTTTATTTTCGTAGTATGTTTCTTCATGTTCGTCATCTGGCACAAAAACTTCACCATTCATTTGTATTATCGGATTTTGATGTTTTATTAAAGCATAATTTACTATATATTCAGTTTTAGAAATAGGAGTCTCAATTATTTGTGTGGTATTAATTATTTTTTCTCTTTCTTGTCCTTCAACAATTTTTCGACTTTGATCAATTATGCTTTCAACTAATTCTAGGGCTTCGCATTTAATTTTTTCTTGCATATCATACTGGGTTACGGGGTTTTCTGAATTATTTGTTATTGTTGTAGAAATATCATTTTCAATTTCCTTCGATGTATTAAAGTGTTTTGGTATAATTAAACCATTTAAACCCATATTTTTGGTAACCAGTAAGTCTCGTATAACATTTTCGTATGGTATTGAATCGTCATCATTCATATCACTTTGCTTATTTTTATTGTATGCTATTTTATCATCCAAATTATCATCTTCTTCCCCACTACAATTTTCTGATATAGGATCATCACCAATTGCTATATCTAAAGCACGTAATGCTTCTTCCACACTTCCAGTTTCATTACTTTTTTCTGAACAATCACTTTGAATTGAATATGTTTCTTCTATAAAGCAAAAATAAAATTAAAAAAAAATGCATTAATAAAATTTCTAGCACAAATTCAATAATTCTCTACAAGTAGCTCCAATTGCCAGCAATTGATTTCAATTTATCAAAATAGGTACATTACGTTATAATAAAGTGATAAAAATTAAGGGAACTGACATACTAGAAAGGAACAAATTTTTTCTAAGCAAATACTTTCATAAAAGTACTTTCTAAAAATAAGACTTTCAAGAAACTCCATTGTCTAAAAAATTACTTTTACATGAAGCAGGGAATAAAAAAAGGAGCTCAATGTCGAAAGCATGATTATAAAAAAAAATTCTTACCTTTAAGATCTGTTAAAGTTTCATTTGATACTTTTTTCAAAAGATTTTTATCAGTTAATTCATCATTTAACAATTCGACTTCTGTTGCATCTTGTTTTTTTTTACTATATACTTTTGATTTATTTTCGTTAAAATTTTCAGTCGTCGATTCTATTATTTTATAATCTAAATTGTTCCCACTATCTGAATTATTATACTGATTTTGATGATATTGATTATGTTGATTTTGATGATTTACTAATTTACTAGGTTTATCAATAAATGTAGAAATTGGCACAGTTTCTTGTACAATTTGTTGTATATTATTTAAAACTTTATTATTATTGTTATTATTATTATTATTGCTATTACCGTTGTTGCTGTTGTTACTGTTATTATTATCAGTGTTATAATTATTATCATTATTATTATGACTATTGTTATTATTAATGCTAATTACTGAAGAATAACAAGAAGAAGAAGAATTTGTTTCTGTATTTTTTATTGAATTCAATGGTGATGATAATACGAGTGATGTATTAATTTTTTCGGAATTTATATTTTGATTTGAATTAATTTTTTCACTTGATGATGAATTTAATATTTCATTTTGGTATAAAGTTTGGCTTTCAACAACAACTGTCTCATTAATTGTTTGATTGAGTGGCATTGAATTTCTTTTAGAAATAGTAGTAGTTGTAGAAAAACTATCATTAATAAGATCTATAGAAGAAATGGCAAAATCTTGGAGGGCATTATTTTCGGCACTCGTTTGGTTTTCATCATAATATTTATTATTACTGTGCTTTTTAATATTTTGTAATGTATTTATATGTGAAGAATATTCTAATGGCACCTGATTTTTTACAATAACAGGTTCTTCAATATCAATTTGAATATCATTTGATGAGATGTTTTTAATCTGTTGCGATTGATGTTGATCTTCGTTTATACTATTATTATAATTATTATTTATATTGTTACTATTATTATTAATTTGTGAATTTTGTATTCTTATTTGTTCTGGAACATTTTCAGAAGATGAAGTAACATCAAGATTTCTATTTCTTGAATATGTAGTTGTTACTATTGGTTCTATTACAATTCCAATTTCATTTTGATTTCTTATATAATCAACAGCATTATTATTTTCAATATTTTCTAAATCTGCTGGTGAAATTGGGCCATTGTTATTATCATTATCATCATCAGTAATTAAGCGCTCCTAAAAATAAAAAATAAGCAAAAAGAAATTTTTAATATAAAATATTTACTTATGATATAAGAAAATAGATATAAGAAAAAGTTATTTAATGTTGTTAATTAACCAAAAACTTAGCATATATATACATGATAATACAAATGTTAAAAATTATTTCAATATTAAGATAAATTAGCAAAATTACTAACATTACTGCTATTAACTACTGGTATGCTTATAACTACAGCAGATGGCGGTTGATCACTTCCTTCTCTTCTTCCTCTAGCTTGTATAGATGCTGCTTGTACTGAAACAGTATCAATAACAACTGGTTCTGATGATTGAACTTCATTAGCCTTCGATTGCGTTTCTGGTGACAAAGCACGAAATATTGGATATTCTGTTTTATTTGATTCTAACGTACCTGATTCATTGGTGAATTCCTATAAATGTTCATTTTTTTTTTCATTTTTATTATATGATGAATTAAATTAGCATTAATTAATTTTAATGATATTTAAAAAAAAAAAATGATATTTTATAAAAATCTTAACAAGTGATTAAATAAATTTTTCTACAACAATTTCTATTTTAAAAATACGAACATAATGTAAAAGAAAATTTTTTGAAGGAAAAAGAAAAAAATTAAATCACAAAAAATATTTTACATTTGAAAATTTACAATTTGAAGAAACTTACATCAAATTCATTAATTTGCATAGTAAATCATGAAATACATATGCATATATTTCCATTTCAGACTTATTTTTTTATTTAACAGGAAAAGAAATGTATTTGAATTGTAATTGAACAAAAATTAATTGTCACTATAGAATTTTGAGCACAGCTCAGTTAAATCTTTATGACACAGATCATAACAGATGATCAAGTAACTTTGATTATGGAAGAAATATTATTTTTGTAAATTTTGAATTCTTAATTTATTTTATTAACGATATTTATATTAAACATTTGAAGCACAAATGCAATATTATTTAAATCAAATCAAGATAAGAGTATACAAACTGTATTTAAATTAAGTTGAACCATTTTATAAGTGAAATGTTTTTGAAAATAATGAAATTGATTCTTTTTTCATTATATTTACTATTTACAAATCTATAAGTATAAATTTAACTATATACAAATAAAGTAATATCTACATGCAATATTTTTAAAACTTAAAATAAGATCAATTAAAATAAAATACATACAAAATTTAAAATTCGGAAAGGTTAGTTAAAAAACTAGAATTGCAACGAATTGGAATTGATTTATAAAATTTCGAAAAAATATTCTAATATTAATAATTATCTTTTAAAATAATAATTGTAATATTATAATTTTTTCGAAATTACAGCAAAATTATTATTTGAAAATATTATTACTAAATAAATTTTACTTATTTTATTTAAAAGCACCTTAACGGGTTGAAATGGAAAATATTTTTCTTTAAAAATGGTATCACATAATTTTTAATATGAAATTAATTTCTTGATTTTATATTCCATAAATAATCTGTTATGGTATTCATAAGTAAATTAGGTATTTACTTTAAATATTATTAAAGCAATTCAAATTTTATTATAAAATAGAGGAAAAATTTATTTACTTATTTTAAAATATAATGAAATTTAATTTTTCCAATTTTACAAAAAAATAAATTATGTGATTAATAGAAATAAATTGGTATTATATTGTGCGTTTTACTCATAAAAAATAATGGGATACTCATAAAGAGTATATTGGGATGTTCAAAATATTGGGATAAAATGAAAAAAAGTAAAAGAATCAAATAATTAAGTTTAATAATGAAACATGTAAAATAGAAATTTTAAAAGGTTGCATGGATGTAAGTATGAACTTTACTTTTAATATATTGTATAGATGGCGTATGTGACCATCTAATTATTTATGCTACCGTTTATTTTCAGTTACTGCTTAAGTTTCTTGCTAGTTGTGACTTTCAATTGCTAGTCAATTCTTTTTAAATTTTATTCGAATAAAATTGCCATATTTAATTATTGAAATCAACAAGAACAGAAATATTATATTATAAATTAATTTTAAATTTTCCTTAAATTAATAGCATTCATATTCAAACATTCATTCAAAATGATTTTTAAATAAAAGAAGAACAAACAAAAAAAAATATAGAAAATAGTACAGTAAAATCCAAATAAGTGATACACAAATAAGTACTCAGTTCATTCAAGATTTGCCAAAAAAAAAAAAAAAATGCCAAAAAAAAATTTAAGTAGTAATATTGCTGGAAGAAGAAATTCTTACAAAGAACTTTCAAATTTCAAAGAAAATATGTACATATAAAATATTTCTTGATGAAGTATTCTTACATGATTTCTTTCTTCTCTTTTGTAAAAATTTTCGAAAAAGATTAACTTAAACACAAAATGTATATATTAAGTGCGATATATTAAGTATTTAGTTGAACTTTACTTAAAAACTCGGTTAAACATCTTATTGTCCAATTGTAATGAGAGAGTAATTAACGTATATTTCATTATATTTCATTTCTTCTTTTTAAATGTACGAGCATATTTTTGTTTTTATCTCCTGCAAATTATATGTTCGGGATAGTTGAAATTGCAAAGAACATATTTTAATAAATTTCAAATAATTAATCAAGTGAACATACAATTAATTACTGATTTACTTATTAGTTAACCAAATTATATACTGAAAAATATTGATTTCTACAATGAAAATCAAAGGAATTTCAGAAATATATAACATATAGCGAGACTGTATTCACTTATCTGGTTTCAACTGTATTAAGAGTGTTAGTTGAAATATTTATTACATTACTTAAATAAGCTAAAAACTATATGAGCGTGCAAATAACAAGCGTTAAATATTAAAGCAAAAAAAAAAAAATTCGAAAAAACATGAATGTTTTTTTTTTTGTTTTTCTAAATTTTAGCCAAATACCTTTTTATCCTTTTCATGGTTAAGCTGTATTAGTTTTAATTTCAAATATATTTTTTATTTATTTGCATATTAATTTTTTTTTACATTCGACATAGGTATGCGTATGGATATTGGGATTAAAAAAAAAAATAAAAAAAAAAGACACATTATTTACATTGAATTAATAAAATTATTTGTTTAATCTTTACACAATTATGTAAGAAACAAAAAAAAAAAAAAAACAAAAGAAAAAAACGTGTGTTTTACTGTAAGCATAAAAAATTTATTTTTTTTTTTTTCTTTTTTTTTTTAAATTTTTGTAACAAATAATTATTAATTTTGTTTGTTAGCAATATAAATTAAATATTTGCAACAATTAGATAATTATAATATAGTAAAATATTGTATTAATATTTAAATATTTCACAAAAATAAAAAAAAAATAATAATAAGAAAATTAAAAGTTTAATAAAATATTTGAGAAATTATTATTATACCTCGAACCCCTTTTTTCTTCTACGACAGCATACACATCCGGCTAGAACTGCTCCAAAACTTAAAAATGCTACTGCACCAATTAAAAACATATTGCGTTCCGCTATACCTGAAAAAGATAAAATATAATATTTTTGTATTATAAATATTAAATTGATAATAGAAAATTGCATGAAAAAATAAATGGAACAATTTGGAAACTACAAAGTATATAGGACAATTATAGTCATTGAACAATTTTTAAAATTTCCTCAATTCTGTTTTCAATATTTATTTAATTTCATATTGTAAAAGTGCTTCAGAAGAGAATTTGGATTGAATATCATTTTTGAATTGGATGCTTAATCCAATGGCTTATAAACATTATTATCTTAAATACTAATGTCATCTTTTGATGATTTTTAACACAAAAGTTGACAAATAGCATGGGGCTATTAAACGATATTGTAAGTAACCATGAACACCAATTTCTTACGTCATTGAGTTTACTATGTAGGTGACGAGCCTACCGAAGTAATAGTAATATATGGTGCCTAGATGAATAACAAACATTTTATTACAGAAACCAATGTGAATTCAAAAGTTAAAATCTACATTTCGTTGCGCGAAGAACATAGTGGGACAGGAAGTTGAAACTTAAAAAAATTTTTCTTTTTGAAAAAAAATGGAGAAAAATTACATAATGTAAAAGTATTTCCCAAAAAATTTATCAATTTATGTGAAATATTTACTATACTTGGAAACTATCACAATATGGAAGTAAAAAATTAAAAAAAAAAAATTAAAAAATCCACAAATGTAAATTTTGTAACCTAATTTTTTAAATACCAATTGGACTTCTTTTATTATAATGCTACTATTGCATTGTGTGTTATGAAATTGTTCCATAACATAATTTTTTTTTCTACCATTTAAATATTAAATTTTGGCTAAATTCCAAAATTATGACTACTTTCAGTTAAAATATTAACATTGAATTGAACCTCCTTAATTTTTTTCAAAAAATCCTTGTTACTTTGCATCACAATTGAAATGAAATAAATATAACATTGAATAAATAAAAAAAAACAAGTAAAGATTATCGATTGTACCTAAATAAAACGTTTTTTCAGTGTAAATACAATTTAAGAAAAATAATTTTTATCATTAAGAAAAAAAATTATAAGTACACAAAATCAAAGAAAGAAATAAAAAAAAAAATGTCCTTGAACTCATTCATAGCCAACTTGAGGATAAAAAATTATAAGACTTTATGTTTTAAGGCTATGACTTGTGAAGGCAATAAAAAAAAATTTTTCAAAATAAAAATCTTATAAAATGTACTTAAGACCTGTGCTTCTTTTTTTTAACAGATAAATCTTGACATTGATTGTGCGAAAGAGAAAAGATTAAAAAACATTGTTATTCTTACATAGGTATATTTTTCTCTTTTTATTTTTTTCCCGAAAAAAAAAAAATATTATTGATTTTTAAATTTTCCTTGAATTTTCTTTTTTTTTTCCTTTTTAAATTTCATTTGTGTCTCGAAAAACAAATTTGTGTTTTATTCTTTGTTCTTTTTAGAGGTGTGACATGAAAAATTGTTTTTTCACTTTGTTTTTTGTATATTTCATTTATTGTGCTTCTGTAATACAATTTGATGAAGATTTTGAAGAATTTATTACAGTGAAAATTTTTAAAATAAACTGTTAGTACTCCTATTAAACTTGGACGAAAAAGTGTAAATGACGGCTACTGCTATTAAGAGAGGAGTGTACAGATTATACAGAAAATTACGCTCTAGAGTAAATCTTTTAAAGAAATCAAAATTCAAAAAAAGAATAAAAACTTTTATTTTCTCTATATGTAAACTAATAACTATAATTTGATATTTAAGAATACCTGAAATTACTTGATTTGACATAAGAGAATAAGATCGTTTTTCAGGGTCGAAATTTTCATAAATCAAAAACAGCCATAATTTTTGCAAACATTATAATTTTTAGTATATACGGCATAAATATCGTAAAACTATGATCTCCAATTAATATTTTTACTCTGTGGTCATTACACACAAAATATAATATTCAGTATTTGGTCAATTTATAGAAACTTTACTGTTTACAATTTTATTATAAAAAAAATTTTTTTTTTCTTTTACTAAAACATTAAATTTTTTATTGTATTTATTATGATGTTGACATATAAATTTAAAATAACTTTTTTTTTTTTTTTATTACAAGGTATGGCGGCGACATTTTAATCAAAATAATCGAAAACTTTATTCAATTAAATTTAATGTTAATTATATTAATGTCGACTGCAAAAATATTACTGATAGATTCTAGGAATATTAATTTTGCTTTTTTGTTTTGTGTTTAATTAAAAATTTATTTGAATCAAAAATGCTTCAAAAAAGAAAAATATTCAATTTTATACGAAATAAGATTGTATAATAAATTGTTGATTGTTTGCATATAAGTTCAATTATTATAAATGCATACTTAATATTAAAATCACTAAAGTTTATTATTTAGAAGATGCTAAATATTATGGGGATAAATAATCCATTCATTCAAATGAATTCCAATTAAGTAAAAATTAATATTTATAAATATTATGTAAGAAACGTTTATAAAAAATTTCTAGTAAAATTTGGATAAACAATTTGTTTTTAAATATGTTCTCCAATTTTTGAAGTAATTAATTGAAATTAAAAATTGGAAATATCTGTTTCTCGTTGACCTCTGAATTTTTTTATTATAGTAACAATTCAGTAGAACAATTTTATGTGATGTAATTTTTTTTTTTCTTGATGATATCATTATTTGATTTTATTGAAATGCACAATGCTTATAGAATTTTATAAGTGCATATGGAATGTTCGATTGCTTATATATTTTTCTTATAATTCTTTATAAATGAAGATCTTTGTATTATTTAATTTGCACATTGCTTATCTTTTATATTGCTTATGTATTTTGTGTTTTATTTACAAAAAATGTAATAATTAATAAATAAACTTGTACATAAATAAAGTGTCTCAAATTACATAGTGCTATTTTTCTTTTAGCTTTTTTCTTTTTGTTTTTTGTAACAAGTATGTGTTAAGTTTACAATAAATATACACAGATTAATCGAAAATTTTACCTATTCTAATGTACTGAAATATTTGATTTAGTTTGTTTGCGTTAAAAATAACAAATATTTTCAGAGTTCTTTTTCAAATTGGAATTCTCATTATCTCAACTAAATTTGTCACTTTTCCAATTAGATTTTCTTTTTTTTCCTCATCTTTTATGTGATTTTTACAGCCTAATCGTGTATTTCACTTTTCCATCTCACTTTTTATTCATTTTTAAATCAAGATTCTCCACATTTCTAATAAACACTTAAATTTTCCAATAAAATTATGTATTTTTTCAATTGAATTTTTGCATTTTTTCTCAAATAATCTAAACGTTTTATTATCAAGAAACAAGTGAATACATTTTGTATATACATTTTAGATAAAATGAAATTCGCAATAAGGAGTAATTTCTTCTTACTCAGAAATTAGTTTATACAAATATATGATAGTTACTCATATTCTTCTCATTGATGAGTAAAATAGCGAGATACACGATCAGACTCATAATTTGTTCATTAAAAATAAAAAAAACGAAAGACTTAAATTATATTAATATTCGCAACTATGATTACCAAAATATACCTAAAAACCAGATCGTGTTATACAATTTTAAACATATTTTAATATTAAGAATGAAAACAGAAACGTTATTCAAATTACTTCAAAACATTTAAGAAAACGTTGATTTTCTCACAATTGAAACAGATTCATTCAATACTAGACATATTTCCAATTTTAATAGAACTTTTTCTTTTTATATAATAGTGATTTAATTATATGACATTTCATTTGTTCAACTCTTTATATAACTTATGTGTCAAAATAAGATAGAATTAAAAATTATTTACCACTAACCCGATATTATATTGTAAAAAAAATACAAAAAGAAAATTGGTATAATGAAATGTGCTTCTACACAAACCATTTTTTTTCCTCCAAACTTGCTTTTAAAAATATAAAAATTAATTAAGTCAAATATTGATTTACACAATAAATATAGAATATTTTTATATTAAAAACAAAAAATATACTTAATTTTTAAATGATATTAATGATAGTGGTCTCAAATTACATAAAATTATAAAAAGAAAAAAATAATAATAATTTTTACAAGTCTATTTAAGGAACTTGAAATAAAAAAGAAAAATGTACAGATTATCAAATTAAATTTTATTAAAAAATTTAAAAAATATAAAAAAAAAAAATTATTCAAGGCTTCTAATATCATTATACAATTTTAATCTCAATTTTCATATATGGTATTTTTTTTCTCTTTCTATAATTTCAAATGGGAATAGAATTAAATCGACCATAATAAAGAAATTATATTTAAAAAAAAACAACAATTTTGTTTTTTAATATTAAAATTCTATTTTTAACGCTTCATGAAATCCGCAAAGCTATACCGAAAAAAAAACTTGTTTATATTCGTACTTTCACTTGAAAACCTTATGAAAAATATTGTGTATGTAGTTAGAGAGAAACAGCAATATAAACAACAAAAAAAAAAAACAATTTCAAAATTTTCATTTTAATTGAATTCATTTTTGTTTTGTGATTTTTATTGTTTTCGTTTTGTAGGGAAATGATCTATCTTTTCTATATATTATACATAATACATACATATATACATGCGTACATAAAATATATTTAAATTATCAAAATTTTTTTTGGGAGATTTTCAAGTGCGTTTTTAAAGCAAAAAATTAATATGTACATATGTCTGTATGAATGTATGTATATAGGTGATTTCTGGAGTGTATCGAATTTAATTTTTTATGATATCATGGTGAAAATTGTCAATTAAAAAAAATAAAAATTTCACTATAGTATTACATTATTATTATTCTGAAGAATAATTTTGATTTTAAGTGTTTCTTAAATCTTAAATAAATCAATTGTAATCTAAGAATATCTTGTATACAATATTATTATATAAATAAACATACATATTTATATTCATATAATATATATATATGTATGCATTATATGCAGGCATT